AGGAGAGGCCCAACCCAAGTATTTCTAGAAAAAAAAAACCATTAACCCGACATATTTCACTACTAAATGGCTTAATTAACTCTTTTTAATTTTATATTTAAAAACAAAAATGCTTCCTCTCCCCCGTGTTAGAAAGGTTGAATGTGATAATTATTAAGGAAAAGCTATCTTCTACTTCCATTTGAAATTAAAATTAAATAAATAGTTAATTTTTCCCCGCTTTTTGCAATACTTCTAGGATACCATAATTTTGTTTTTCTTTTCATAATATCTTTTTTCCTCTAAGGTGCAATTATCTATCAAGTTCACATCAATTGAAATTAGAAAAGCGACATGTGTAGAACTATCCAATTCAAACCATCAATCAAACCATACTCAAGCCGACTGAACTCGATCGAGTCAGTCTACCTGAGCCAACCGAAGGATACTTCTTCAATAGACAAGAGAAGAGACTTGGGATGCAAGGTATGCTCTCACAATTTTACTTCTACTACCCTTAACAAAGCTCTTTGCTAATTTAGGCATTAGAGTGTGTTGGGCTTAAAACCAAATTAGACCATACCAAGCCGACCTAATTTAGTCAAGTGGTCCATCCGAATCGAACCAAGGAGACTCATAAATAAGATGAGAGGTTTAGGACGCAACATGTACTCTCACAACTCTGCTACTTTCCACAAAACTATTTACTAACTTAGACATCAAAGTGTGTTGAGCTTAGCACCACACGGATGTGTAAATCTATCGTGTTTGCAAATCAAACATCCATACTAGAGATGATACGTAAATTCCTGCTTTCAAGAAATACTAATAATAAATGAAAGATTACTCCAATATTATGATTAATGTAATAATCATGATGCTATGTGATTGATAATATGATGAAATTAATTTAACTTGCTTAATTTTGTAACTAGTAAAAAAATTGCTTTCTATATTTTAAACTGGACTCGTGAGAAAGGCCATCAAATATTTATGGGAATTTCAGAAATTTTCATAAATTGTCCCTTTAGACTATTTGAAATTATATATTTTATTATCAGCTATATATAGTCCTATAAGTTTGAGAGCTCTATAACTCGTTGGAAATAAGTTAATTAAAATCTTTCCATTAGACATTAGGTGATAATTTGGTGAATTCTTTTTTTCCTTTTTATATCATTTTAATTATTTGTCCCCTTGCCACTCTTTCCTTTTCTTGACTTCATAATTTCAAAATCTTTTCGAGAAGTGACGTTTCCATAAGATTTTTGCTTTAAATTTCAATTATATGGCAAGCATTTAAATTTATTTCCTTAGCTACGTTGATTAGAAGTGATCTTTATTGATATTGAGATATTTTAGATAGAGTTCAAAAAAAGGTAAAATAATGCAATCCTATATTGATATTTGTGCGATAGAATTAGTGATTTTGAAAAAAGATATTTAACTATAATTGATTTTTTAAAATCAATATTCAGAGTGAACATGATGAATTGAAAGGGAAGGGAAGGGAAGTGATTTTGATCATGCCAAAATTACTCCCAATAGTGAACCTTATCAACGTAGAAACTTAGAATGTATTTAGGAGTGATTTTTGCGTGGCCGAAATTAGTTTTGTCATTGTCAAAATCACTTTCCTTTTCATGGATTATTTTTGACAAATTAAAATTTTGATTTTAAAAAAGTCTAAAATCATTTTAAATTGATTTTTAAGGTATCACTGGAGGGTGATTTTAGAAAATCAATTATAGTTGAATCTCTTTTTTCAAAATCTCAAATTCTACCGTCACTCCCAAACACACCCTTAGTCTATTTTGAGTCTCATTAATCAGTATCATCATTAGTATAAAATTTTTAGATAGAGACCAAGAACACAAAATCGAGACTCAAAATAGACAATATGATACCTCATCAAAAGTTGTTATATGCATTAGCAATTGCAATAAATGATTTGTATAATAATGAGGGGATTGCATGGGCAATTTAATTCACTCTAAAAGAGAGGGAAAAGGCAAAAGTAAAAGCAAAGAGTGGAAAAAAGTAAACAGAAATGAAGGGAAAGGGACCGAGGAGAGGAGATTGTCCCCCCATAAAAATGCCCTCAAATTTCATGCCATCATTGCCATCCCTTAAAATAGGGCAACATTTACCATTCCTCACCAACCTTGAATATGCATATTTATTCTTTTCCTTCCTTTTCTTTGAAAATAACAAATAAAAATATTCAAGATAGAACAATCTTTTTCTTCTAGTTATTTAACACTTCAGTTGTTAATTGTTATTGTTATTTTAGTTCTGCAAAACAACTCTGTTGATTGACTGTGTGTACGAAAGAATGAAGACACATGAATTAATTATGAAAGCTACGTGGAGAGTTCATAATATTTAAATATGTGAAAGGTTTTCAAGGAAGAAGTAGCTTTAAGAAGAATTCTATCTTTTTCAAAAGCGTTGCAACCTTCCTAGGATAAGTACCTCCATATAAGGATAAATTAATTCAATATGGGTTAGCATATAATGTGGCTATAGTTTTGCTTCTCATTAGATAATAATTTTCTTTTAATTATTTTAACCATGCATCGTCCAACAGTTAATCATCTCACTTAATAATCTTTCCATGAAAACCTATCTGTTTAAGCGTTAAATTTTTATTATTTATTTATTCGAGAAACGTCATCAAGTCTCTGACCAGAGCGGAAAAGCACGTGTGAGGGAAACATAAAAAGGTGGCAACAATTTGGCATATACCGAAATGGATGCCCGGTCATCAAACTGGTTTAAATTTGCTAGGACGCGTCCTCATGACTCAACCGATTTCCCCC